GTAGCCACATATCGGGTAACTCATAATAACCCTGGTGAGACTCATTAGCAAATGTTATTATGGATTCCATGTCAAGGCAAGCCATGTAGGTACTGATGTTTGTCCATTGATTGCTTTGATAAGTGTCATTTACCTTAGTAAGGTTGCTTTTGATGGATTTACATTTCTTTGCTGAATTCCATATAATAACTTGTTGACAATTACTATAAGTTCCCAAATAAATGGCAGTACGGAATAGTCCTGTGCTATAAAAACAAAATCTGGCAGGTTCCATTATACGAGCACCCACAGCATATGTCATATTCAATGTCTCTGTAGTTATGCTCCACAGCTGCTTCCATCCTGTTTCATTGAATGGAATGGCATGGAAAATAAGACCACCACGACTGTCACCAGGAATTTGCATGCAGATCCAACAGTTCGTGACGTTAAGTGTAAGAGCAGTGCGCCTGGCATCCCGTACAAAAGCATTAAAGGCCCACAGTCCCTGATCCTCATATGCCTGGCTGAGGTGGTGTACGTTGAGCCATATAAGGACGAACACAACGAGCTGGAGTCCAAACGATCTCGCCATGGTCGTCTATTGCAGCATAGCCTCGACCCCAAGTAATGAGGGAGGCAGGCCCTTTCCAGGTGGGATCAGGCAAACGTCGATAGTATACCTGGGGGCGTGAAGAATCTGTGGGAGAAGCAGAAAAATGCCTGCTTGCGGCAGTTGAGCCAGGGGTGCCAGAAACATTCAAAAAGTTTAAGGTAAAAAGTACAAGATTAAGAGTGTTTTGTATCCCAGGCAAGCCGGGGGTATTTTCCCCTTTCTTTTTTGCATGCATGTCTAGAGCCCTTTTTATGGTCTGATTGGCTCGTTCCACGATCGCTTGACCAGTGGAGTTATATGGAATGCCAAATTTATGAATAATAGACCAGCGAGAGCAAAACTGCGCAAAGGAGGTGCTGGTGTAAGCAGGAGAGTTATCAGTCTTAATTTCTTTTGGATTGCCCAGGGTAGAAAAAGTAGGAATACAATGATTAATAACATGTTTAGCAGACTCACCCCTTTGAGGGGTGGCCATAATAAAACCTGAATAGGTGTCAATGGAAACATGCAAATATTTCCAAGGGGCAAATGGCAAATATTGCGTAACATCCATTTGCCAAAGTTGACAGCTCTGCGTCCCTCTTGGGTTGACCCCTTGAGGAACAGAGTGTGCTTGGAGGCTGCAGGTGGGACATTGTTGTATGATAGCCGCAGCCTCTGTAGCTGTTAAAGAAAATTGTTTCATTAAAGCCTTCTTATTTTGATGAAAATATGAATGGCTGTCCCATGGAGTTATGGGAGATAAAACAAGGACGGAAACGTCCTGGTGAGTGGAGGCGGCCGAAGCGGCAGCATCCGCCTTGGCATTGCCTTCGGAGATAATACCAGGGAAAGGTTGGTGACTTCTAATATGAGCAGGAAAAAAACAAGTAGAGCGGGAATGAAGAAGGGATTGAAGTGTGAGAAATAGACTGAGGAGAGAGTCATCCAGTGAGGGTGACACATATGAATCAGATAAAGAGGTGAGAACTTTATATACATAAAGACTATCTAAAATAAGATTAAAAGGTTCAGAAGAAAAAGTTTGTAAGGCCAATATTGTAGCAGCAAGTTCAGCACGCTGAGCAGAAGTTTGAGGAGGAGTAATTTTTGTGTGCCATTGTTCACCCTCCTTCCATACACATGAACCATAAGTCTTGCTACCATCAACATACAGGGTGACAGCATTAGGAATGGGAGAGGAGGAAATGGGAGAATGCAGAGAAATTAAAACATTATTAAGGAGTTGGAAGCGAGGGTCAGAGGGAATATGACAGGAAACAGATCCTGCCCAGTCAGCAAGAGAAAGTTGCAATACATCTGAAGAGTATAATTGAAGCAAGTGCCTTGGGGTTGATTCCCCTTTTGGATTGCAGCTGCAAGAGTGTCCATTTGAAAAGCATTGGTTCCCACAATGCGACAGGCTTTAAGAAAGTCTGCCAGAGTGGCCGTGGGACTGGAAACAATTGGTTTAAGAATGGACTGGCAGTCTGCATTTGCATATTCATAAGCCAATTTTATGAGGATTTCATTTGCTGCATCTCTGTTTGAAATTTGATGCTCAATGGCAACTTGCAGGCAATTCACAAAGTCTGCATAGGATTCAGTTGCAGTTTGGCGAATGGCAGAAAAAGATTGAATCGGGGTGCCAGACTCATCAACACGAGCCATGGCAGAAAGAACACAAGCATTAATGATAGGAAATGCAAAGGGAGTAAAAGTTAGAGCTTGAGCATTGAGGGTAGTAAAATTGCCTTCTCCAAAGAGTTGTTCTGCTGTGTATTGTGAACCTGGGTGATTAGCTCTCTTTTGTGCCTCTCTTTTATATTCAGATTCAAAGACTACGTATTGTGTTCCGTTAAAAAGCATGCGGAACAGATCTTTCCAATCTTGAGGCAACATTCTATATGCACTAGCAATTGAATGTATCAGTCCTCTAGTATAGGGACTGGTTATGCCATAATCTTTTGTAGCCTTTTTCAATTCTCTGATCATAGCCAGGGGAAGTGCCTCCCAACCCACTATTAACCCTGTAGCAGTCTGTTGGTAATTAACAGGGAACAACTCTGTCTCGGATAGTTCAGAAACGCTTAAATCACCATTGTTTAAAGCCTTTTGAAAAGCACCACGCATGATTCCAGGAGAGAGAGAGAGAGAGGAGAGAGGAGGCAACGTGGCAGGAACAGGAGAGGTTGTTTGCTGTTTATCAGAATCCATAAAATTTGCAGGGACAGAAGGGTTAAAACCAGCTCCAGGGGGTAAGGGAGTGGCCAACATAACAGACGGATTTTTATACAGTGGAGGATCTAATAAAGGCTGATGAGGCAATTCAGCATAGGTTTGAATCAAAGTATAGGCAATTTTCCAAAGGCATAAAATCTCTGGGGGGGGTTCTCGGAGACTGGTGGAGAATAGTACCAATTTTCCTCCATGTATCTATTTTTAAAGATCCAGACTCCGGATAAAATGAGCAGTTAGCCCATACGTAAGCAAGCAATTTAGCAGCCTCAGATTTAGAAAGGTGACGGGTTAATTTCTGTTCCTGATCAGTAAGATATTTTTTCCTGCCAAGTAGCCTCAGCTCTTCCACATGCTGCTTTTGAGCGTGAGACATTCCACCCCCCATACTTACGAAGAGGAGTCAGTTGCCAGCAACTTCGTCGGGTGCACCAAGCCTATTCCAGGCGATAAGTAAAGGGTTGGCAGGGACGTATCCTTCAGTGGATCACGTCGGGGTCACCAGATGTGGTGGTCTCCCATGGAAAATGAGACACGCAGACAGGTATCTCGGGATGAGAGCCCAGAGCTGACTCCAGCACCCTCTTTTATTGTTACTAAGGTTTTTACATCACACAGCATAATCAAAAGACGTATATAGGGGTGGTTACAATGTATCAAATAACAGACACTCTCCAGATACAAGGCTACTGCAGGTGTTCTTATCAGAGTCTGTCCAAAAGGCTGATGAATGTATCCTGTGTCTGAAACAGTTATCTCAGGCCCTTGTGGGAGATGCCCATGGATAGATGCCCATGGACATTTGTGCAATTAGTCCCACATATGTTAATTTACCAATGGAAACTATAAAAACTAGTTGGACTATGTAAGCTGGCTCAAAATCAGGGAACTTGTTAAATCTAAACATATTTGCATTTCATAATTCAACATGTGAGTGTGTAAGAATGATAATGTATGAAAGTGATTTATTATCCCTCCTGTTCATCTATAAATTCTAAGAACCTAAATATAAATTCTAAGAACCTAAAGGGAATACTCCAATTGTTTCAGTAATAGTCATGACCTAGTCATAGTGGCAACATTAGGTATATTTGGAGCAAGTAACATTCTGTTATGTCAGTTATGAAGCAAAGATTTTTGCTGATAGTAAATGTCCTTTTTGAGGATGGCCAGTGCCATTGACAGTTACAGAAAAATAAACAACAAGCATGCCCACAAGTTTGTCTTTTAACCTTATAGTATTGGAAATTTATTTATTTATTTATGAGACTTATGTACTGCTTTAAGTGCAAGCACTCTCTAAGCGGTGTACACCAGTAAGCAATGTATATATATTTACATTGCCCCCAACAATCTGGGTCCTCATTTTACCTACCTCGGAAGGATGGAAGGTTGAGTCAACCTTGAGCCGGTGAGATTTGAACCGCTGACCTGCTGAACACAGTCAGCTAAAGTGGCCTGCAGTACTGCACTCTAACTGCTGCGCCACCTCGGCTCTGAGAAGGGGCGTTGTCTTACCTGAACGCCTTTTCTCAGCACGGAGATTGAAAATCCACCAATGGGTTTCTCTCTTCCTGCCCTTGAGACCAAGTCAGCCAAACTTGTTGCGCCCTCTGCTGAGAAAAGGCGTTCAGGTAAGACAACACCCCTTCTCTAGCACAGGAGATGGAGAATCCACAAATGGGCTGTACCAAAGCCTCACTGTCCCAATGGGAGGGAAACAGATAAGGCCGGGTCCACATCCCCAGACACCACTTGCTGAAGGACCCTCTGACCAAAGGAGGCGTCCGCGGAAGCAAAGCGGTCAATTTTGTAATGACTATTACTATCTTTTAGGGCTGGAGACCAAGTCAAGACTGGGGTTCTCCTAGCCCAGCAGAGGACCCAACAATTTTGGCTGACTTGGTCTCAAGGGCAGGAAGACAGAGCAAACCCATTGGTGGATTCTCCATCTCCTGTGCTGGAGAATGAATCTGATATGTAAAGGTACTTTTTTTTTCCCTTTTGCGTGGCACCATGGAATTGCTGCAAAGGAAGGCAAGAGCTGATGTAGGGTCTACTTCAGATAGATAGTTTTGTCACTAAGAAATCCAGGAATGCATTTAGAAAATTGAAACAGGTATAACCAAATAAAGAATAACATTTGCAATTTGTAGCTGTATTGTTTATAAGAAGAGCCATATCCAAGTCACTTGTTCAGGAATTTTATTAACAGATAATATGCCATTCTTTTTAGACAAAAAAAAAAATACCCTGAAACACATAATATGCATTATTTCCAATAATGCCAATGCTGTAATCCATTTTATACATTTTATCTTTTTTATATATGGCATTTGGTTGTATAACTTTTCCTACATAAAGTGGGAAGTCATTCTACTCTAACTCCTATTTCTGTTTCTTCTAAAAACAAATGATTCATTCATTTCTTACACAGGAAATCTTTCAAACCTCTCCCATACATCATTTTGGTAACTACTAAAATAATTATAATAATTAATAAAGACTAAGTATCACCTAACAAGACAAAAATAATATAAAATATAATTAAAATAAGGAAAAATCCTTACCAACTAGATAATATGGCAGTAGTGTTTTTGCTGTTTTAACCTTATGTACCAAGTTTTCTTTTTAAAGCCATTTATATAGCCACTTAGATGAACCTCATGACTCTGGACAGCAAATAGCAATTGAAACATGAACACAGTTTTCTTGTTCAGGTAGAAATAATTTCATTTCATTTGTGCATATACATTGTGCTAAATTACCATCAGTTCCACAACAGTTTTGCTGTCTGAACTTGATATATCAGCCATCATGGAAGCATAGATGTCTTCTGTGTTTCCTGGCTGCTAAGTCAGTGTTCAGTATTTAAAGGATTTGGGTTTTATCTGTGCTTGGATTCTGTATTAAGCTTCCTTATATATCTTCCTATTGCCTTATAAACAAAAAAAATATATCATAAAAAAGTCATACAGAAGAATCTGTGATAGATTTTAGATGGCTAATCTTTGTCCTGCTAATAAATGGGTGAGTGGTACAAAGGCATCCTGCTGCAACTATAAGTCCTAAACTGCACCATGCACAGAATATAGACCAGCTGTATCCATGTTCAACATCATCAGGCAGACCATAGATAATTTTGGGAAGGCGGTTTAGGTCAAAGGATATACTTGTTGCATAAGTACAGAGGGAAATAGTGCAAAAGATGCCTACAAAGGAAAGATTACAACAGTTAACGAGATGCATAGAAATAGGAATTTCCAAAATAAATCATCTGGATACACATAAGCTTTTAACTATGTGATAAGAATTTGAACTTACAGGAATGGCCGTTGATACAATGTCATGCAATTTATCTGCCATCAGAATTGTATCAGGAAAAACAATTGACATTTAAATTACATTATTATAAAGCAGATACGTCCTATTGTAATAACAATTTTGAAACAAGATAGGTGGCAAACAATAAAAAAAACTACCTTAAAATAGCCATGATCCAAAATTTTATTTCTGAGTTATATAAAGGATATTCAAGGCAAAGAAGCAGAATTAAATTTTTCAATGTCTCCAAAAAGAAGTTTCAGTCTCAAGATTCCAAGAACTGGGATTGAATCCCAAGATCTTCCTTAATCTGCAAAAGGAACTGTGCTTCTTAAGTGCCCAATTTTTTATCAATATTTTATATTTTAAATTATTTTCATATATTTGAAATTAAGGTCCTTTTGTTGCTATCATCTTGGATAGATAGATATTGTGGTTGGAATTCCTCAAAAGTTTTTTTTATAATTTTAATTTTATTTATTAAACTATTTATTTTGATATTTCTGTATTCTAGTGTTACCTCCCCTAATTTAATACTTCCTTAATTCGTAGGTTTGAGAGCCAAATCAGATGAATCGTGTTTTTTTCAAAACCGATACTTTGGATGCCAGTGAGCAAACCTCAGCACTAGCAGGCCCTTTAATTGCAGAGTCTACTGCTGAGAATCTGGACTGGAACTAGACACAATGGTTACCAGTCCCTCAGAATCCAGGGTAGCTGGTGAAAGGTCATAAACTAGAACTGCAAAGAAATCAATAGCTGCCTAGGAGAAGTTTATGAAAAGAGCTGATATATTGGATTGCTTGACACATTATATGTATAGTGTGACAGTCTGGCTCTTGTAACATTAAGGAAAGACTACAGCCAGATTTATACTTTTATAACTTGGCATAGCAGCAAATGGACTGATTTACAAGTGCTCACCTTAATTCTCTGCCAGAGTCTTGTGAAAATATGGACTGTCTAACCCAGGGGTAGGCAACCTTGGCTCTTTTATAACTCATGGATCAGGAATTCTGGGAGCTGAAGTCCACAAGTCATAAAAGAGCCAAGGTTGCCTACCCTTGCTCTAACCTTTCATATTGCTTAACGTCAAGAAAACAAGATTTGATGGTATGTACATATAAGGCATTTTGATTCTGAAAGATCTGTAGAAATCTACAAATAATGCATGTCTCAATTCTAAGTTGCTGAGGCATAGTTCAAATTTAGGCTTTCTTGATAATAGTTAAAGCAGAATTTGGATTTCAATACACCAACATTTACTGACATGTCTAGCCTAGTAATAGTAGCTTGTTTGGCTTAGGTTTTGCTTAGTGTAAAATGTACAAAATGTTTACTTCTGGTAGTTATTTTCTGGTACTACTGGTCTCCTGAAATTAACGTCAGCTCTGAACCATTACACAGGCTTATGTGACCTGGTATTCTCAAATCAGCCTTTAGGATTTTTAAGTACAGTGCAAAATATGGAAAGTAAATAACTCAAAGTATCCTTCTCCCAACTCTTGCAAAATTTACTGCAAGAGAAAAAATCTACTCCACAAAGGGGACAATAACAAAATAAATGAATAAATATGCCATCGTAATGGCTTTTCATGGACTATCCATAAATGTTCTCTGTTGAACTTTCACTTTGAAGAGATGATCAAATTATTTTGGCACCTGAAGTTAAAAAGCCCCCAAGTTAGCCTTCCCAGTTCTAGCAGTAAAAATAGAATAACTACATTTAAAAACTAGCAGACAAAAAAGAAAGTGTACCTGACATGAGGAAAAGAAGACCAGCAACATGCTGTGTGAGACTTTTCTCCCAAAAGAAGCCAACTGCAATTACAATGCACCCACAGAAAAGAACAGCTGCTGCCATCCCAAGGAAACCTGCTGTAATTCTTCTTAGGTCTAGTCTCATAAGAGAAGGAAGTGAAAAATTATCAGCACACATTAAAATTACATTATAAGCCTATTCTTATGCGTACACATTCCTAAAAATAAGCTACAGGTAGTACTCAATGACAACAGGGACCAGAACATCATTGCTAAATGATGTGGTCATTAAATGAGCTATGCCCAACTGCAACCTTTTTTTGTCATGGTTGTTAAGCAAATCACAGTCATTAAGCAAGCAATGTGCTTATTGTTTCCCCCATTCACTTTGCTTGCCGGAAGACCCCTGAGTCGGTCATGAATGGCAAACATAAGACCTCAGGATGCTACAGTAGTTACAAATATGGTGTGAGGACTAGTCACAATAGCTCCACTTTCTTCAGCACCATCATTAGTTCAAACAGTTGTTAAATGATGGGTAGTTAAGTTGAGGACTACCTGTATGTTAAATGTAATATGACTTTTTTAATTATAAAGAATTGCCAGATCATGGAGCTATTGTTTCTTACCAATTTTAATAAGAAAAAAATGATGGACACATCTTCTGATTTGTTTTTCTTGTAAGTTTTTAAAAAAACCTTATTCTAAAAAAATTAACACTGGCCATTTCTATGACCACTTCTACCCCATGTTTGCACCTTGGTTACTAAAAAAATTATACTATTAAATAGTATACTGTTTGCTATCAAAAAGTTATTCCACCCTGCTCTAAAAGGAAATTTTGCTACATCTATAATTGTTAAAAGTTTATTTAACAAACTGGCAAGATGGTTATTACATAGAATGCATATAGAATAGGTAACATTATATACTAATATTTATTTTCACATTTGTAACCTGCCCTATATCAATGGATCACATCATACTAGGACACGGGTCAGCAACCCACGGCTCCGGAGCCGCATGCGGCTCTTTGAGTCATCTCCTGCAGCTCCCAGTCCATGTGAATTTCCCAAACAAAAAAAATGGGTCTAAACAAGTTCAACCAATCAATTCAAACTTCTCATGAAAAAAAACTTGTGAAGTTTGAATTCATTGGATGAACTTCTCTGGTTTGTGGGACTGCCCACAAGCCATATGTGGGACTGCCCACAAACCTCTCTCTTCAGTCTTCACAGACTGCTAGAAAGGTGAGTAGGCCCTTTTCAAAGGCCTTGCATTACCCGGCCGAAGTGCTTGATGGGGGGGTTCAGCTTCCAAAGGCTGCTGGGGACCTCCCTGCTCCCAGGAAAGCCTTTGCCTTGCCCGCTACTCCCATTGTAAATGGCCTCAGCGTCACCAGCCGAAGGGTTTGATGGGGGGGTTCCAGCTTCCAAAGGCTGCTGGGGACTTCCCTGCTCCGAGGAAAGCCTTTACCTTGCCCGCTGCTCCCATTGTAAATGGCCTCGGTGTCACCAGCCGAAGTGCTTGATGGGGGGGGTTCAGCTTCCAAAGACTGCTGGGGACCTCCCTGCTCCAAGGAAAGACTTTACCTTGCCCGCTGCTCCCATTGTAAATGGCCTCGATGTCACCAGCCGAAGGGCTTGATGGGGGGGGGTTCAGCTTCCAAAGACTGCTGGGGACCTCCCTGCTCCGAGGAAAGCCTTTACCTTGCCCGCTGCTCCTATTGTAAATAGTCTCGGCGTCACCGGCCGAAGTGCTTGATGGGGGGGGCCTTCAGCTTCCAAAGGCTGCTGGGGACCTCCCTCCTCCCAGGAAAGCCTTTACCTTGCCCGCTGCTCCCATTGTAAATGGCCTCGGCATCACCGGCCGAAGGGTTTGATGGGGGGGGGGTTCAGCTTCCAAAGACTGCTGGGGACCTCCCTGCTCTGAGGAAAGCCTTTGCCTTGCCCGCTGCTCCCATTGTAAATGGCCTCGGCATCAGGCAGGGCAAGCTTTTTGCAAGCGAGGCTGAGCTGCTTGTGTACAAATGTGTTTCTTTTGCAGGGACGTTGCTTTGCTGAAGGTTATATCTTCTTCCTTCCCTCCTGTTTTCTTTCTTTCTCTTTTTACCTTCCTTCCCATATTCTTCCTGCCTTTCTTCTTCTTTTCTTGTCTTCCCTCCCTCCCTCCCTCCCTCTCTTTCTTTCTTTCCCTCTCTCTTTCAATAAGCAAGCAATCTGGGTTCTGACTGGCTGCTCCGCGCCTCGTCCTCCCCTCCCCCAGAAACAAGTAAACTGCATGCAAAAATCCCACAACATCTTGTGCGCACGTACCTGCGTGGAGACAAGCCATTTCACTTTGCCTGATTCTTTTTGTTTCAAAAGCAGATGCTTTCTGTTTCAAAAGTAGCCTGGGTGTCACCTGCCCGATGCACTTGCTGGGAGGAGGGGTTCAGCATGGATCGGCTGGTGAGCTGGCCGCTCTCCTCCAGCCCCAGTTGGCATGCTTGCAGATCCCCCCCCCAAATAAATAAACACAAAAGGCTGATTTGAAAGGTTGTCCAGCTAAAAGGGGGGAAAGAAGCTGAGCTGGAGCTTCTGCACAGGCTGGTTGGGCTTACGGCAGGTTTCGCCTGCAATTAAGGCAGGGCGAGGTTTTTGCAAGCAGGCTGAGGGGGGAGCTGCTCACGTGTCTGCTCACATAAGAGTTTCTTGTGTTTCTTTTGCAGGGAGGCTGCTTTGCTGAAGGTTATATCTTCCTTCCTTTTCTTCCTGTTTTCTTTCTTTCGCTTTTTCCTTCCTTCTTGTCTTTTCTACCTGTTTTCTTTCTTTCTCTTTTTCCTTCCTTCCTTTTCTTCCTGTTTTTTTTCTTTTTTTTCTCTTTTTCCTTTCTTCCTTCCTTCCTTTTCTTCCTGTTTTTTCTTTTTCCTTCCTTCCTGCCTTTTCTTCCTGTTTTCTTTCTTTTTCTCTTTTCTTCCTTCCTTTTCTTCCTGTTTTCTTTCTTTCTTTTTCCTTCCTTCCTGCCTTTTCTTCCTGTTTTCTTTCTTTTTCTTTTTTCTTCCTTCCTTTTCTTCCTGTTTTCTTTCTTTCTTTTTCCTTCCTTCCTGCCTTTTCTTCCTGTTTTCTTTTTCCTTCCTTCCTTCCTTTTCTTTCTGTTTTCTTTCTTTCTCTTTTTCCTTCTTTCCTTCCTTCCTTTTTCTTCCTGTTTTCTTTCTTTCTCTTTTTTACTTCCTTCCTTCCTTTTGTGGCTCCCAGTGTTTTATTTTTGGTGGGAAATGGGTCTAAGTGGCTCTTTGAGTGTTTTGGGTTGCCTACCCCTGTACTAGGAAGACCACATGTTGAACCTAAATACACAAGTACTTACGCAACAAGTGCCATTCATCCTGCTGGATAATCTTGGTTAAATTGATAGGGATGTTCCATAAGCGTCGTATTGGTGTGGCAAAGTGATACTTGATTGTTGTACATCTCTGAGCAATACCTTTAGAAAACAGAAATATTTAATGAATAATTCTGAACAGGATCTGGGTGATGTCTTTTTTAACATAGAGAAATCCAGGAAATGAGCTTTTTATTGTGAAATTGAAATGTTTATAAAATAATTGCCTTATTCAAAGAACTTATATAAAGGTAGGGACTACCATCATCTTTTTAATTATAGTTCTCCTGCATTTTCCCACCAATGACTGTAATGCCTGCCTTGGATTTTATCTTTGCTTTTTTGTCGTTAATTTTTGGTTTTGCTATTGTTTGGAATTTAGATATTTATTATTATATTTTTCATATTAGATCTTGCACACTGCCCAAATTTTACTGGGGCAAGTTATAAATTCTGCAAGTAAGAAAATAAAATCAATAAGATAGTATTGAGACCCAGAAGACAAATTATAATTTATGATTGATTCATAAAACTTATGCAACTGGTTTAATGGGACATATTATACAATAGTTATAGTATGTCATAAGTACCTTAACACCATAAGCCAGCATTGGGGTTGGACAGTGTTAGCTGCTAACTACTAGCCTGTAATTTTCTTGCTAAACTAAGTTCCCCAGTCATAAACAGGCCTATTCTAGGAATGCCATCTCCATTTTATTTTTTTTAACCTTTCACCCAATTCAATATAGAGGGGGAGATGTAAAAAAGGACAGAAATGACTGACAGGAGGATTGATAGCAACCTTACAGGTTTGGTTTTTATTTTTTCCTCAAACAGATTAAAAAAACAGTAGTTGAGAAGCAAAGATGGCCACTTGACTAGGATTCTGAATCACTAACTCCCAGTGCACAGGGATGTATCTCCTGGGATAGCAGCTGGGATCCAGCATATTGTCCAAACATAGTCAATCAAGATCGTGTGAAGTGTTAATACCACTTTACAATGTTTTGGTAAGGCCCACTTGGAATACTGCATCCAGTTTTGGTCACCACGATGTAAAAAAGATGTTGAGACTCTAGAAAGAGTGCAGAGAAGAGTAACAAAGATGATTAGGGGACTGGAGGCTAAAACATATAAGGAACGGTTGCTGGAATTGGGTACGTCTAGTTTAATGAAGAGAAGGACACGGGGGGGGGGGGATATGATAGCAGTGTTCCAATATCTCAGGAGCTGCCACAAAGAAGAGGGAGTCAAGCTATTCTCCAAAGCAGCTGAAGGCAGAACAAGAAGCAATGGGTGGAAACTAATCAAGGAGAGAAGCAATCTAGAACTAAGGAGAAATTTCCTGACAGTTAGAACAATTAATCAGTGGAACCCCCTGCCTCCAGAAGCGGTGAATGCTCCAACACTGGAAGTTTTTAAGAGACTGGACAGCCATTTGTCTGAAATGGTGTAGGGTTTCCTGCCTGAGCAGGGGGTTGAACTAGATGACTTCCAAGGTTCCTCCCAACATCATTATTATTATTATTATTGGTCTATTATTACTTTGAAGCAAAATCCGTACAAGGAGGTGATACAGCATCAAGCAGTCAATTGCATGTTTCAATCTAGATAGCAGTTGTAATTCTCTACTTTGTAGCATCACTGTTACAACTTCCTTATAATAGCTTTTTCTCTTATCTGCTTGTGGCTTATTGTCAAAGGACCATAGAAATATTGACTGGATATTTAATGGATCATGACTGAAAAATTTCATACATAGGTTTATAGGGTGCTGATTTGCAGATGTTTTCTTATGCTGCTATCCTCAAACACTTGATATTGGAAATGTCATATTTGCATATTATATTTGATTGTCAAACTGATTTACAATCCAAAACATGTAAAACCTGAGAGTACAGAATATCTTCAAGGAAAGGATAAAAGATAAAGACAAAACACAATTTAAAAAGCACTAAAAAGCTTGCCACAATTTTAGCCACTTATCTAACACCGACTTTTAAAAAAAGAGGTCTTCATAAGTAGTAAAAAGGTAAAGGTTTCCCTGTCAGTCATGTCCAACTCCAGGGCACAAAGCTCATCTTGTCTGAAGACAATTTCCAAAGGCACATGGAACCCTATTATCTTCCCACAAAAGTGGTATCTATTTATCTACTTGCATTTGCATGCTTTCGAACTGCTAGGTGGGCAGAGCTGGGGCAAGTAATAGGACCTCACCCTGTTGCGTGGACCCCAAGTCTCGGATCTGGGTTGTCAACTCTCCAGCTGACAAGCTCAGCATCTTTAACTGCTGAGCCATTGCGCCCCTCACATGAAAAGTACTGCCATTAAAAAAACCCTTTCGTTTCATGCATCCTTTCTGGCAAAAAAAAAAGACTACTGAAGGTGACTGTAGCTGATAAGTAAGATTCGAGTGAAAGGAGATAATCTTTTAAATTTCCTGATCTAAAATAATGTAATGCTTTATAAATATTTGTTTTAAAACAGTAATAATTTAATAGACATGCTGAATTAGGACCATTAGTTGCCAAATATGGCAGAAAATCACTAGTCAATAGTGCCTCAAATGCAAACCCTGCGTATCAAATAGATGAGCTTACTCTGGAAATAATCTGATTTATAACATGTTTGGAAGTTGCCCTTTTCTGTTAAGATATATTACTATAGTATGCAACATTATCTGAAATTTTATAAAAGATGCACAAAATAATTACAATTAGGATGAATTTGACAAGTCCCAGCTTCTGTGGCAGTGGGGTGGGGTATTTTCTTTTGTTCTTTGGTTTGGCTGACTATAAATATTAAGAGATCTCCCTAGAGAAACAATCAGTGAAATGTTATAGAATTATTCTAGCAATTATGATCATGAAAGCACTTACTCATTCTTACAGTTTTGTTGCCAACAAGAGAGCATATATATCCCCAACTGAGTGACACACTTTGCAGTTTCTGATTGTGCAATACAATTAAAACAATTTATAACCCAATTTTCAAGATAACCTAGAGCAGTGATGGCAAACCTTTTAGAGACTGAGTATCCAAAAACTGGCCTTGCCCCCGCTCTACCCCTGCCCCGCCCCCACTCTGCCTGCCCGCAGGTCCACTCACCGCCTCCAGGGCCCGTCGCAGATGGCCCAGGCAGCCCAGCAGCGCCATGGTGGCCACGCCCTCTCCCCGCGCCCTGCAGCATCAACTGCGTGATGGGGCATGAGGGAAGAATCTTGTCTACGCTGCCTGGCTGCCATGTCCTTGGCTGCGCTGCTCTGTGTGGGTCACGCTTGGGGGCGACTCTCCTCCAGGGGGGCTGCTGGTGAGGGGGTCGCGGGGGGAGGCAAGGCTGGGGCAACAGCATATGTGCCCACAGAGAGGGCTCCGAGTGCCGCCTCTGGCACCCATGCCATTGGTTTGCCACCACTGACCTAGAGCAAATATATAATTGGTTCTACATTTTAGTTCTGACATACCAGCTGTGTCTGAAATTGTTAAACTAATTAGAAACCATTAGAAAATGGTTTTGAAATTCTTTTTGTAAGAAACGTATATAGGTTTTGTAATTTTTGTCTTAACAATTTAAGAAGCATATTGCAATAGATATGGGAAATGTTCTTTTTTAACAAATCAATAGGTTAAGAGTCTTAAATAATGTTGTATTAATATTGTATGTTTTGAAAATGAAACTAAGTTGACCAAATACTATTTTTCAAATAAATTGGGCCTTTCAGAGAGTGGGCAGTATCTTCTTTATGCTTGAAGTCTAATATGGAAGAAGGGGCTTTTATTTGAATGTTCTGGGCAGCTGTACATTGACACCAGTTTGGTCTAACATTCATCAGGTTGTAAATGGTAAAGAAATTTCATGGCTCCAAGATATGAATATGATGCTGAATTATATTCTGAAATCTGTAGCTCAGGTATATAATGAGGGTGAAGGATCGTTCTCTAAGCTTGTGGGCTGGTTTCTGAATGTTTCATTACCCAGCTAGGTAACATCTTCAGCAGGATCCATGAACATCAGCTGGCAGTCAAACGCCACGATCCCAAATCCTTAATCTCTAACCACACTGACACCAAACAGCAATACAAAAATCATCGGCCACACTACCACCCGCCATACTTGTGAGTTCATTGAAACCTGGCACTCCACAAGCAATTCCATCAGCAGAATCATCGACCTAGAACCAGTCTACAAACCCCTCAGGATCCAAATCAACTGCACAGCCAACCAGAGACAGCACCGACCCTCAACCAACCCACACAAGACTCCCCCCACCAGCAGTTCACCTTCTAATGACCATGACCGGAGGTAATCTCCCCATCACAAGACTCACTGATGACTCACACCTTGCCCATCACAAGACCCACCACAGACCCTCAGTTGACACACCCGCACCTGAAGCCCTTTAAATGTACATTTATACAATTTACTATTGAATAGATTCTTCTAACACTGAAAAATTTGATCACATAAACTTCTTTGTGGTCATATTGTTTAAGTATATAGTATATATTTAGTTGTGTTAGGATATAATGTGATTCTAAATAACTTTTCTTTTTCGTTCTTTGGGGAGAAACTCTAGCTATGCTTATGATACAAAATGTGCTGTACAATAATGCATTTTGGTAAGGAAATGTCTTTGAATTTGTGTATTAAAGGCTGCAAGATATTATGCATTGCAAGTCAAAGTCAATAGATCTGAAAATGGCAGGGCCTACTGAAAAGTGGGAGTATAGTGGAAATGATTTTCTGTAAAAAAATATATATTCTCCAAAGGCCACAGAGGATTATAGGAGCTATGTGTCAACACTGTTTAGTTAAAAAAAAGGTGTTCAGATGTTATGACACTATCCTGTAAAAAGAGTATTCAGTTTCAATTTAGGATATTTTGTATCTGAAAAAATAAATATTGCTAATCAGTTAAACAGTTTGGTTAAGAAAAATAATTTTTAATATCTCTGAAAAAGAACATCAATTTCCAGAGCAATTTTTATTTAACCCAGAAATTAAAGCTGGACACCTTAAAAAGCATTTCAATATTGTGTAGTGATTAGGTTCCTTAATTATGGCAGAGAAAACTACGGTTCAAATTTTCAATTATCTGTATGACAGTTTAAAAGGCTAAAGTCAAGTAAAGAAGAGAGCCATATTTCTTTCCAGGAAGGATGATAAAATATCTTGAAATAATGCTGATTTGGAAATAAATACGTCTATTAGCTTGGGCAATATGAAGAGAAGTCAATGAGGTTGTACTTCATCCTTTCCTTGCCCAATTCAAGACTATCTCAAAGTACTTTTCTCTAAAACTGCTTTTCTCTCCAAAGTATAGGAGAGAATAATATTGCATGTAATAGCTCATCCCTTAAAGAGAGTGCAAGAACATAAAAGACCTGTTAGTCCAGTATTCAACACTTGCATTGATTAAAAAGATACTTTGAGGAAGCCCATAAGCAAGACATGAGCACAGTATAACTCTTGTTATATTCACTAAGAGCTTCTTGAAGATAGATTGGTGGAAGTAATTACAGAGCCACTGATAACCCTGTCCTCCATGGTAATTCCCTTTAAAACTATCCAAGCCAGTGGCCACCAGTACATCTTCATTATAAATTCTACAGCTACATTACTGGCTGCATAAAGTTTGTTTATTCATTTATTACAAAACCTTCTACCCAAGGCCACTTCAATCACATACTCTAATGGCAGGCAATACATGTTATGCATATTAAAAATATCAATAATAAAGCTGCCAACAGATTCAAAATAACAAGAATATAACACTCATCTATCAGCTCAAGTAAATCTCTTCTTCACCTCAGTCTCCAACTACACATTTAAAAAGCTACATTTTAATAGCTTTTTGAATAAAAGGAGTGAGGATACAAGTCTTACATTTAATGGGAGGATAGTCTATAGGTAGGGACATCTCACAAACAAATGTTTACTTCCCAGTCCCCTTTTATTACACTTCACATGGATGGGGACTTTCATCAGGTCTTCTCCATAGGCAGGGAGATTTGGAGCAGAAAGACAAGGTCAACTCATGTAGGACCTTAAAGATAATCACAAGCACTTGAGGCTTCCACCACTCAGCATTAATGGATAAGCCCAGGATCTATGTATGCAACGAAATTTCATTTTGATGTATGCCAATTGGTGTACATTCAAAGTGAGAATAAAGTTGTTGTTATTGTTATTATTATCTAGTAGTATGGCAAAGGAAGACAAGCACATCTTCATCTTATTTTTCCACCTTATGTATAATTTTCTACCTCACAATGTTCCTATGCAATTTGTCAGCTAGAACGCTGCAGCCTTTCCTCATAGCAAAGATGTTCCAGTGCCTTCTGAATTTTTTTCAGATATACAATATCTTCTTGAAATTAATGATCAGAATCATGTACACTTTTTCAAGAGTTTTGAATAAATAAACTTTATTTATTCCCTTCCCAATAATCCATTCAGGAATATGGATTATTGGGAATATGCCTTTTAGTTCAACAAGAGTTGCATTCTGAGTGAACACTTTAACTGAGCTATCTTCTATCTGCTATAAAGTAAACATCCTTTCCATATTAAGTGACTGAAACTTTAGAGCTCACCAGTGTAAAATAATTTAAACCGCTTTTGCCATTTTTAAAGTACATTTACCCTATCTGGAGACATTGTTTTGGAGCTAGTATGAAGAGTTGGGAGGATGCCTCATGCAAAATGTTTATATATAAAATATAGAGAACATGAGAGTGTTCCTCCTGGAAATATAAGCAGAAAAGCAAAAGGTCAAAATCTAGTTTCTGGGGTGAAGAAGACATATGTTCTATTATTTCAGAAATATTCGTAATTTCTATCAGTTGAAGTGGGAAAAAATGTCATTTCTGCAAGATAGGCCAATATGTATCAAAAAGTGATGGTCATCATGCCTTTGCTTTATTAGGTGCAGTGACTCCACAGCATTTTCAGAATGAAAACACAGCCTAGAAGTTGTGCAATGAAATAAAAGAAATGGTAACCAGGGGACGGTCCTTGCATATTGAAGAGAAAATATTGACTATTATAACAGATGTAGTACCTATTACTCTGTTTTGGGAGCTTTGAAACAGATTGGTAGTTACCCAAACTAGGTGCTATGGCATGCTGAACTGCTCAGTGAATTTAAGGTTACTACATACTATACAGATTACTGAAGACACATAATGCATGGGAAAGAAAGAGGTATAGAATGAAGTAGGCTAATACATGGAGTGCAATCACTGAGAGGTTGATGAAGACTGGATTCATTGTGTTATTTGTGTGATTATTGTAGTCCATAAATTAATACATGAACATAATAGTGCTTAGGAAACATAGTATTCTCTTGTTCCTTAGTGACTAATAAAATGCACTTTATTGGTGAGATGCAGCATAAATGCCACATTGGAGAATGCACTTCTATAGCGATATATCTAGTATTATATTTGCAGAAAACTCAGAAAAATAGAAGAGTGAAAACTAGTATTCAAGAAAATTATGGGTGGTGTTGCAGGGCAGAAGAGGACTATGAGGACAATGACTAGCACAGTGATGACAACCAACAACTGTAACAATGTAAAGGAAAGAGGTGAAAGGAAAAAGAGATAATGCCATGATTAATGGTTTTGTGTGATGATGGCAATAGATGTGCTGTCAAGAGGCATGCTTGTGTGTATTCTCAGGAACTGTGACCTGGAGAGGACAAGTGCATTATAGTAACAGCTGTGAGATTATTCATTCTACACCAGGGAAGTTTCAGGATGGAATTCACATAATTATGGTGTGGAGTGACAAGATTTTTGGGGAGAAAAGAGGATGCACATACAAAAGAAAAATACACACATACAAAAAAACATATCATATGACACCATGCATCGATATAGTGAAGAAATTATGGTGGGGCCTGTTCTATTTCACAGTTGGCACAGGCTGGGAAGTAGAAGCACTTTGAGGTGATAACAGTGGGAAAGGGGAATGTAAGCTGCAACGCCGCCTGGGATCACCCCCTCACCTCTGTCCAGTAGGCTATCCAGGTCTTGGTCGACTCCCCAAAAGTAACATTTCCTCCAGAGACCAGCGTAAGTGGCGAAGAGAGGCCGGCCACACCGAGATTGCAGCCACCGGAGTCCCAGGAGCGTTCGCCAGTTCTCTAGCTGTAGCAGCAGGTTTCCGGTGGTGGGAACTGTCTCCGCGCTACCTCCGCGGGGGGTTCGTTGCCTGGCGTCCCGCAAGGGTAGGTGCGGCAGCGGCAGGAGTCGGCGGCGTTGGTCCGGGAAGTGGGCGCTGCCGGCACGGTCCTCGCAGCTCTCCCGGTGGCGCCGGGGATCAGTCTCGTACCAATGGTCGGTGAAAATGGCCGTGACGAGCAACGCCAACGAGCAGAGGCTGAGGCACAAGCTGAGCACCCGTGTTCGCGCGCCGCCCATGGCTTACCCCCGGGGCACTCCTCGCCTGGCACGCAGTGTCCTTCAACGGACGCCCGTGCTGCTTTCAGGGCTTCCGCGCATGGTACCGCGAGAGACAGCAAAGGCGTCCAGAAGGAGCCTCCAGTTTCTACTCGCTCGCACAATCAAGCCACCGACTGGGTAGACGGCAGCGCCTGTCCCGCGTTCATTGTTCACTCTCCACGGGTGGGTCGCTCCACACAAAAGAAAGCCCAGGAGCTTGCAGCACCGCTGGGGAGACGCCAGAGGGAGCAAGATCAACTGGTCGGCGGCCACTCAAGGCAGCAAGAAAGAGCGCGAAGCCAACTTGCCCACTGAGAGAGGACTGAGCAAGGCTGCACGGCCGAAGATCCTATGTCTTAATGAGGAAATACTACGTGTCTTCTCGTTTATTCTAGTTAATCCAGCTGACTGCAGGAAGGAATTTCAGGAGGATAAGCATATTCTATTGCAGCCTTTTATAACTTAGGAATGGAGAATCTGAAATAGGACTAAATGCATGGAAAGAATAGAGCTTATTGGAGCATGTGAAAATGCTAAATGATCTCATTGTTTAATTAGCATTGCCTCATGGTGTTATAGGATTAGTATTTTGTAGGCAGAGAAAGGGATCAATTCCAAAAACATTCTATCATTTATATGTGAACAGGTGTGATTCCAATTCACTAGGTGTGAAATAACCACCAGAATATCTTGAACAGTAAATGCAGGCACCCATTTGGGTGCTGCAGAGACCTTTCAATGTTGAGAATATTTGCTGAAGGCTCTCACATGACTCAGTGGGGGTTTATTCACAAAACCCAAAGAGTGCAGCCAATCTACCCATTTATCCAAATGCAAAAATTGCATATAACCTGAAGAGAAGCAGAACTTAATGGAAGTGTCTCTACATTTTAATACAAAACAGGTTTGATGTGTTCCCCACTCCCTGGATTCAGAAAGTAGTGAAACAAATATATTTTTATCCTATTTTTTAATGTTTTTCATCAACTGAGATAAATAAATTAGACTTCCATTTCCCTAAGTTGGCCAGTGGAACTGTTTTACTGTGGTGCACAGATAGTCCTCAAGTTATAACAGTTGGGGCTGGAATTGCCTAAACAATGTGATCACCAAGAACAATATTAGATGACTACATTGCTAAATGATGGCAATTCAGGCAGTATCAGTTACCACTGTAACCACAAGACACATGGGTTGTTAAGTGTGTATCAGCAGGAGTCTCCAATAAAGAGTTAGAGGGGTGCTGCAGGAGATGAGGGAGGTCCTGAGATGCCCAACCCAGGACATACATGAGTTGGAAGGGAGGGCTGCAGGTCTGGTTCATGCATACAAATGCAGGGAGGCCCAGGGAAGAAGAAGGCCATGATGCATTGCAGTGGGGGAGACTTACCAGAGCAACTTGTGACTTTCCCTTCTGGTATCCCCAATGACTTTGCTTGTGGGAAGCCAGCAGAGAAGGTCGCAAATGGTCTGAGCTTCAAGGATCAGACGTAAGTAGCACTCATTCAGCACCATCACCATTTCAGCCACTGACCATTCTCTGTGGGCCCCAAGTCTCTCAAACGCTATTTTGTGTTTTGTCAATCAGAATATTAATAAGCATATTCTGCAACTATTAAGATACCACATGGGGCCATGAGATGTCTGATCTATGATATACATTTTAAAAAATAACATAATGTAGCCCCTTAAAGGCTCCTGATTGGCATGCACCATGTTGTGTAAACTCTTCATTAAGTCTACAATCTGGCCAAATTTCAATAGACGCCTACATCATCCTTATTGTACGCCACGGAATCATTCTAGACTTTCTGGTTTACAGTAACAAGAATATACAATAAAACTTCCATGCTAATAAATCACAACTCTCCCCCCCCAAAAAACATAATACAAAGAGCCAATTGGTTTAGTGCTGGCCTAGAAACCAGAAGACTGAGTTCTAGTCCTACCTTAGGAATGAAAGCCAGCTCGGTAACTTTGGGGCAATCACTCTTTCTCAGCCCAGCTCACAGGATTGTGATTGTGGGAAAATAGGAGGAGAAAGGAATACTAGGTATGTTTACCACCTTCAGTTATTTATAAAATAATAAAGGTGGGATAAAAAAAAATCTAATAAATAAAATAAATAATGCAACATATAGGATTCACAATAAAAAGATTTATTTACCGTATATGCTGGCGTATTAGGCGACCCGGCGTATAAGACGACCCCCGAGTTCGACGCCGGGTCGCCAGACGATCGACGCCGAGTCGCATATAAGACGACTTTCTAGGCATGCGACTCGGCGTCGATCATCTTATACGCCGGAAATAACGTCATTTCCGGCGTATAAGATGATCGACACCGAGTCGCATGCCTAGAAAGTCATCTTATACGCCGGAAATAAACGTAGTTTATAACGTCATTTCCGGCGTATAAGATGACTTTCTAGGCATGCGACTCGGTGTCGATCATCTTATACGCCGGAAATGACGTCATTTCCGGCGTATAAGATGATCGACACCGAGTCGCATTCCTAGAACGTCATCTTATACGCCGGAAATAATAAATAAATAAACGTTATGACTCGGCGTATAAGACGACCCCCGAGTTTGGAGGCTGTTTCATCGCTCTCAAAAGTCGTCTTATACGCCGGAATATATGGTATCAATTTTATATGAACCCACCTCTCACAAGAAATTACTCCAGATGGCATATAGCAGGGGGGCCCAACTTCTGAGCCATGGCCCACTGCTGGGTGTGGCCTATTTGGAACCAGGCCATGTGAGCGGCAGGCCAGTGTGCTTGCCTGCAGCTTGACTTCCGCAAGCGGCAGGCCGGTGCATGTGCACACATGTGCAGCTCAACTTGTGCAAGTTAAACTGTGCACCTGTGCGTGCACAGTGGCCAACCACTAGTGTGGCTCGGTTCCCCTCTCTTCCACACCCACCAAGCCGCAAAGGTTGGGGACCACTGACATACAGCAGAAAAATAAAATATAAAACAAAAAACATATCAAGCATATATTTAAAGTTTTTTTTTTAAAAGCACATACAAAAGATTGAATAAGCAACAGATTCAATCAGTTCCAGAACATTCTGCATTGTCATTTAAATATTGATTTAAATTAATCCCTTTTGAGAGCCCACCTCCTCCCTTACATACGATTAAATTATGTCTTTATGGATAACTGGGATAAATTCAGATTCATTCAATTTTTACACAATTTTTAAACTCAGATGGCTTTGAAAAAGCTCTGCTCATGGTTTCTAACTTGCCTAGTCCTGTTAAACAGCACATCTGAGAGATGTTTTCCTTCTGGTGGAGCCATTGTTCAGTAGCAGAGCACTCTTTTCCAGAAAAAAGACTGGTCTCCTGTTTGCAATTTTACAAGAGAGTCTCAACCTTTGACTGCAGGCATAACTAGCATCTAAAAGCAATAAAAGATGTTGACAGTGAATACAAATAATGTAACTTTTATTTGCCAAAGATGTTCAGTTTCCAGTTACAATGCATGGTAATCACTCTGGGTATATACTAAACTGTAAATAGAGTAAAATCTAAATAAGGCTGTGATGAAAGAATTTAACAAATATTTCCATTCATACATATATTAAAAACCTAAAAATACTGAAATATTTATATATATATAGTGTATTTGCATGTGTGTGTATTACACACATATAGTATGTGTGTGTGTATATATATATGATAAATTGATATATATCAAAAGAACTGATAAAATGGAACTATATCATAAAACAAAATGGAAAAGATAGGCACTTAGATTTTTTTAATAGCTTAATGGCTATGAATGAGCTATCAAGACTGATTACCATTCTCAATCTAAATAATCCTATATCATTGTTTAGGAATGTGTTTTTGATCATGGGTACCTATCTTAGGTTTTATTTTAGTTTAATCTTTGTTTTTCTTTATGGTTACCTTCCATTCTTGTGCTTATTTGGATTCGGTTATTTATAATTATGTTGCCGCTGCTTCTTTCTATTCTAAGTTATCTGCAGCCCAGAGTCCTTTAGGATTGGGGCTGACTATAAATTATGTAAAACAAATGAATAATTTAAATAATTGCAAGTGGTATTGATAAGTAAATATACAATATAAAGCCACATATTTTATACAAAGCATGAGGTTATCACTGGTTTTCTAGTGTACTGGTTAACTTCAAAACAAAAACCAGCCAATTATGACTATTTTTCACAAGCAGGAGTTCAAAACATATGGGTGAGTTATTAAAATGATCCTACTGTATGGCCCATTTACAATACCCATTAAATATGTAAGGTATCTATCCTGGATAATGAAAGAGCTAATGGAGGTTATAGCAGTTATGAGAGACTAAGACATAAATATAGCTAATGAGATTTTGGTTTTATTTATTAAAGTAAAATTTTTGTATTCTCTATGTATGTTTTAAGGATATATTAATTAGGAAAAATTAAAAAGCAAAGACACTTCTATATTACAATATAATTTTCCACATCAAGTTCATAGAAGAGAGATGAAAAGGTTTAATTCAAACAATTAAAAGTGATTTGAAATCCAAATCCACTTAAAGGAAAAGATGGCAGTGATATTAAGTGAGCTAATTAATTCTATAAACTTCTTAATGTCTATCCAGAAGTAAATTCACATATATTAACATAAATGTATTACAGCCTTTGAACCTGGAAATTCTAAATTACCATTCCTCAACCCGGTTCCGAATTAGGGTCAACACATGGACTACAGTTCTTAGAATTATCAGACAATAAAAAATTTGCTGCCAAGGAATTCTGGATTTCATTGCAGAACACACCTGGAAGACAGCAAGTTAGGGAAAGCTATACTAATCTACAGTATTGCAATTAAAAGTAAAATATTATGATAAAATATTCCCGAGTCTAAACAAAAGTTACAGTTGCCAACATTTGAGACCAACACGCAGAATAGTTTGGGGCTTGTGATTTATTGTTGGGAACACTAGTTACCATAGAACAAATTAATATATTCCCTCAGTATACATACATTTTGAAAAAACTTTGTACTCTTCAGAATTAAATCGGCCACAGGGAACATTCTAGAAACTAATTAAGTAACACTAATTAGAATGTGTATTATTTATCCATGATATGATTCATTCCTCTTCACAGAAATGACTCACAGTATTTTATTGCCAGAATCAGAATTCCTGCCTTAGAAAGCAAGGTACCCAATAGTTGTAGCTACCATTGTGCTTTGGCCTTTAGGACAAAAATTCCTATCCCTACCTATTGAAAAATAAAATATTCATATAATAAAATACATTTTCTATCTTATGCCTTCTTTATAGCTAAGCCTCAGATTTATAACAGAATAGAAACATAGAAACATCGGACTTCTCCAGATTATACCAAAAACTATTTAAAAAGGAAAAAACAGGTTTAGGACCAGTGTATCAAAAATAGGGCGGTCCTGACTTCTTTACCCAAACATAATCATTGCGCCAACAAGATTTTGATGCCTCCCCAAGATGAATTCGCTATCTGCTGTTGGTCAGGATCTACGTCAACAAGAGTTGTGTGTGCAGCCCAACTTCAGAATCGCAGTCTTTCCTCTCCCACGCACCCGCCTTCTAAACAAGCACACCACGTTACGAGGCAGTGCTTCACGGAAGGTCCAAGTGACCATCGGTATTGTAAAGGGTCAGCATAACTGCCGAATTACACTCCCATCCTTCCGGACGGCGCCTGGTGGAAAAATGACTTCATATACACTTACGTGAAAATCTGACCGATGAGCCTAAATTCGTCAGAAAGCGCAGTACTGTAAACAACTTTATCCAAATACCCCCTTGAAAACCTACATAGCCGGTACACAGCTTTATAAATTAAATGAAAAGGCTTAATAGAAATCAAGTCTGAAGGTTTGCACATCCTTCTATCCCGCCAAGGGTCCGCCGATCCTCCAAGCCAAGAAGGTACTTGTGGTCCCCGATGCCCGGTCTGCTGAGCACTGGAAGACACAAATCGCCAAGGCCGCACCAGCTGCTCCCGCTCTCGGGTCCGAATATTTCGCCTCATAGTGTTCCAAGCCGCTCTCTCTCGAGCATGCCCAGATGCTTACCAGCCTCACCTTTCCCTTACGCCGCCTCTGCCCCCCGCCCGCTGCGTCCTAAGTCTTGCGAGACAGCCGCCGGGCAGCTGAAGATCCTGCGCGCATGCGCAGACGGTGACGGCGGGCGCCATGTTGCTTGAGCAGAACTGGGGGAGGTGGCGTCGGTGGTGATCGCTCCGAGTCGTTTTCTCCCTCCACCTCCTCCCCCCCTTTCCCCTTACCCACCTGCTTACCCTCTTTCCTTCCTTCCCTTCCCCCACCTCGCCATCTCGGGGGCTGCGGCGGAGCGAGCTGAGGGGGCAGCTGCGTGCTCCGGGAGGCAGCGCAGCATGAGCGTCGGCGGGGGGCGGGTGTGCGACCTGTCCCGCAGGAACCCCCAGGAAGACTTCGAGCTCATCCAGCGCATCGGCAGCGGCACCTACGGCGATGTCTACAAGGTGAGCGGTGGAGGGCGAGGGGGCTACT